CCCAAACTTGGGGAAAAGTTTTCCAACTTCAGACAGGGCGAGAGGAGCGCGCTAACCCGAGTCCCTCGGCTCCCAGCTTTCCCTCTCGGCCCCCAATCCTGGCGGCCAGGCGGACGCGGCCCCGCGCCTAGCCCTGAGCTCCCCTGCCCGCCCGCGGGCCCGCCCTGCCCCATTCCCCTCCTGCTCTGCAGGGCCTCTGGCCCGTTACCTGCAGCCGCAGCCCTGCCGGGCTTCCCTCCCCGCGGCAGTGGCAGCTCCTAGCCCGCGCCCCACCCGCCCCGCTGCCAGGCGCCGAGCTGTGCCAGGGCAGCGCCCCTGCCAGCCCCGCCCGCCAGCTCCCCTTCCTTTCCCCTCGCCTCTCTAGCCCATGTGCGGGCAGAGCCGGCCCCGGGCCGCTGACCCCGCCATGAACCCGCCGCGAAGCAGCAGCCTGGCGGTCCGGAGTCCTCTAGGGGAGACACCCGGAATCCTGAACGCCAGCTGCCAGCCGCGATAGGGCGCCCGCGCCAGAGGATGCGCCGGAGGCAGCCAGCGCGCGAGGACTGGGCTGTCCCGGGTCCCTTGTCCCTCCCAGGCACCAGCTCAAGGACCCACCTGGGGGGCATGTCGGAAGCCCCGGGCCCGGCTGCCGGCGGATCCAGGGGGGGACGTGGCTGCGCTGCGCTGCCCTCCGCCCGCCGGGCCCCCGGTCGGTCTGTCCTGCTGGTCCGTCCTCCCCGCGTCCTGGTCGCGTCTCAGCCCCGCCGCGCTTTCCGCACACTCTTATCTGGAGCGGCCGGAGCAAGCAGGCGCCGCTGCAACTATGGCGCCACCTCGCGGCTGCGCGGCTCTCTGCGCGGCAAGGCCGCGACCTCCCTCCCGCGCACCTGGGCTGCTGGCTCCCAGATGCGAAGCTGGGGGGGGGGGGGGGGGGCGGGGAGCAGCTATCTGCAGGTTCACTTTTCCAGATGTGCCCACCTGGGGATCCGGGTCCTGGACTGCGAGTCCCATAAACCCTGGCGTTTTGAGCTGAGATGTACGTACGTCAAGTCCTGCCCTCAAGGAGGGGATTACGGTACTGGTAGGGAGAGGGCGGTTATGGCAATCTTGAGCAAGATGAAGGTAGGTAAGATCGGGGGACTCTTCTGAAGCATTCCTGGACTCTACTGTCCACTTGGGGCTACTCCATAACATGCCCAACCGCCCTCACACACATGTGTTAGGTCTGCACAGCGCACCCCTCTGCTCCCAGGCCCCATCCAAGCAGTGACACTCTCTAGTGCGCGTCTTTAGACACCGCCCCCTCCCGTAGTCCCAGATTTCCGAGATACTCGAGGCGCTTCCACGTAGAGCTACCCCCAGCCGTGAATCTGGGCAGGGGTGTCCCCGAACAGCCCGCCCTGAGCTGGTTGGGCCCCCAGGACACTCGACTGGAAATGGCTAGAGAGCCTCCAGCCAGCCCCCACTTCCCCGTGTGAGCTGTCATGAGGAGCCCCTAGAAAGCGACTTTTTCTCCAACCCACCCGGCCGAGGGAAACATGACAGGAGGGTCTGCGGCTTGGGACTCCCCCAAAAGGTGCTGGACCCCACGTGGAAGCCGCGTTCTGCAAGTGACGCCTCTTCTGGGAGTGAGGGGGGCCCTGCACCGGCTCTTCAGTACTGCTCCGGAAGTGTCCCCGCGCCCGGGAGGGGGCACCCCGACTGTTGCAAGCACCGCGTCGCCTTCTCCCCGCACCTCCTGACCCACGCCCACGTACGGGGGTGGGTCCCCTAAAGCACCCGCATCTTCTGATTGGCTGCATCTCCCTCAGTGGCCAAGCGCTGGAGGCTGGGGCGCAGAGTTACCATGGTAACTGACGAGGTTCGCCCAGATAGCGTCTCTCCGAGGCCTTGGAGAGCTTAGCAACCGCGCGGGCCGCAGTGCGAGCGTGGGCTGCGCTCGCCGCCCCCTGTGCTGTCCTCGGGTCCCTACGCCCCCGCCAGAGGTAGTGGCTGAGTCACTCGGCGAGGGGCGGTTGGGGCGGCCGCTAGCTGTTCCCAACAGACACCAAGGTCTTGGGCGCCCCCCAGAGGCTCTGTTTCCTCCGCATTCTGTTTCAAGGCTTTGGTGCCTGGCGGCGGCTTCACATCCAAGCCCAGGAGCCTGACTCGGCCACGTCCTGAGTCCGCGCCTCACCCGGTTTCCGCTGCGTGTTCAGGAACTATTTTATCCACTTCCTCCCCTCCAGCTTCCCCCCACATGGCGTCCTCGCTACACAAGTACTGAAGTCCCACAGATGAAAGCGGTGGGCTCGAGTTTCGGGCCCCTAGGGGCGGAGAAGCCCGATATCTTGGCCCAGGGACGTGCTGTGTGCTGAGGTGGAAGAGTATGAAGCGTCAAGTGGAATGAGAAGGCTCCTCAGAAGCGCCCTCAGAGCTGGGCTTTGACAGATCAACAGGAAATCTCCCCACTGGGTGGGCAGGCTTTCCCAGAGAACAGAGATGCAGGGCAAACGTGGGAGCAAAGAGGAAGCCCTCTAGGAGGCCAAGTCCCTAAGGGCAAGCAGAGCCTCTCTGACCTCATCTGATTTAATTTTTTCACCTTTGACTGAGTCAGATCATCCCAGCCCTGTGAGTTGTGCCGTGGATCTGTCCGCTGCTGACCCACCCCAGGGTCCGCTGCGCTCAGGGTCTGTTTTTATTCATGAGCACTGCCCCAGATCCATTCCTCAAAATAACACACTGCCCTACTGCACCCTGAAGCCTTTGATACATCCGTGCCAGGAGGGTCTCAGCCCTGGCTCCAGCGCAGCTGAAGTGACTGGGCTGCCTCGCCCTCCTGAAGGCTCCACTCTTTCACCTTTTCCCCCTTCCTCAGCTCCACTAGCCTGCCTGGCGCTGCTTCCGCTCCTCCTCCTCCTCCTCTTCCTCCTCCTCCCTTGTCCTCTTCCTTCTCCTCCTCTTCCTCTTCCTCCTCTTTTTCCTTCTCCCCTCATGTCTCTCCCTCCCTCTCTCCCTCCCTCCCTCCACACTCCTCCCCCATTTAGACCTCTGGGGTCAAGGTACGGGGACAGGACCATTCATTTTCCCCATACTTTTCAGAGGCACTCTGTCCCACATGGCATAGGCTCTTAACTCCACCAGGAAATGATCCTACTGCTCCCTGGGGACCCCTCTTTGCCAAGCTGCTGAGCGCTTGGGCTTCTTCACACTCATATGAGTTCTGTCAATTGAGGAGGGGAGTGCTGGGAATTGAACCCAGGACCTTTGCATTAAGCTACATCCTCAGCCCTTTAAAAATTATTATTATTATTAATTATTATTATTATTATTATTATTATTATTATTATTATTTTAAAATTTTGGGACAGCATCTCACCAAGTCGCTAAGTTTCCCAGGTCGGGCTTGAACTTGAGACTCTCTTTCCTCAGACTCCCAGAATGCTGGGATTCCAAGTGTATGCCATCATGCCCCACCTAGCTTTGCCAATTACCCTACAAATTAATGCTGAGGTGGCCCCTAGATGCCAGAAGTGGGCACTGCAAATCTGACCTCTTGTCTAATTGCTAAGGCTGCCCAGCCTTTTGCCCCCTACTCCTGACAACTGCCCCCAGCTCCCTTCCTCCACCTCTCTCAACTTCCTTCCCTGTGGTCCCCAGCTCCCTAACTGGCACCTGGTCCCCCACCCCAGTCTCCTACGCCAAAACCTTCCAAGATTCGTGGACCCTTCTCCCGAACCCGCCTCCCCACCACAGTTCTAGACCTAGACCTAGACCCTCCGGTGTCCAGCCTCCTCCCCTCCGCCCCCCAGGAGGAGAGAGACAACATGACGGTAGCCAGGTGGGATGTAACACCGCCGAGTGGCATCCTGTGATGTCGCAGGCCGTGGGAACCTGGAGCTGAGTAGGGTTGAGGGTTACCGGGTGAGGCCCCCGAAGGCCGGGCGGGGCGGAGGACTGAGCCCCCTGGACACCGGAGCTCCGGAAGCGGGGAGTCATAAACACGCACAGGCCACCAGGCAGCCGCGCTCTCCTCCCCGGCCCCCAGTCCGCAGTTCCGGAAAGTTAACCCCTTGCAGGCCAGGCCAGGGGGCGCGGGCTCCCCCTACTCCGATCCTGCTTTCGCGCACCCTCCTTCCCCTCCAAGCTCCCTGTCGCCTCGCGCCCCCCCCCCCGCCTCGCCACTAAAAATAGCCCCTTTCCAGTTTCCTAAATTCCCTGCTGACGTCGGCAGCGCGTCAGTGTGTAGGAGCCGCGGCCGCATGAATGAGCCGCCGCACGAGTACTACGCGCGCCTATAAAAGCCGCCGCGCCGGCCGGGCTGCGGGAGGCGAGCGGGCGCGGGCGCGACGAGCCCGCCAGGTAAGCGGGACCGGCGACCGACGGGCCACGAAGGACCGGGGCGCGGACACGGGCGGGGGCCGGGGGGCGGCGGCGGGCGGCGGGCTGGAGGGTCTCTTGGAGCGGGCATGGGCACAGGGCGGGCGGCTCGAGGGTCCCTCGCAGCTGGCGGCCGGGCCGGAACCTGGCACCAGCACGCGCAGCCCCCGCCGGCGCCCAGATGGAGACGCAGCCACTTCTGAGGACCAGCAGCCAGAGGACAGACCCGCGTCCCTGAGGCTTTCTGCGGGGCTCCTGCGCCATCCTCTCAGGAAAGTGGGAGAAAATGATGCCGCGCCCCGGGAGCCGCGGGCCC